CCAACGTTGGCGCGCGTTATCGCCGATCGCTACAATTAATTATCAGTTAAATTGATCACGATCGAAGTGAGAACGGCGGCCCTCCCACCCCTTTATCGTTGGCCGTCCTCCAAAATAGATCGATAAAAAGCCCGATCTCTCAATAGGAATTTCAAAGTCCAGCGATAATTAACTGACGAAGAGATCTCTCTATCCTACGGGTTCTCTTTCTAACGAGATGCGTTCCTATCGCAAATTACACGCCATCGAACGTGTCCCGAATCTAGTCTTTAATGAATCATAATTTCCCGATCCGCCGGTACTCTCTCTCTCTCTCTCTTTCTGCGAAAGGTGGAACGGTTGAAAACTAGAGCCGTACAAAAGTACCACCAGCCCTCTCGGAATCAGAGGCAGGGGAAAAAAAAGAGTCGTGGGAACCAGGTGGAAAGTGGGTGGTGGACCGACTCGCAAATGCGATATCTTGCTAACGAGCCAGTAATGTGCGGCGGGCCGCGCCAATAATTTCAATTTACCGGTGTCGAAGGTGGCTGGCTGGCTGTGACGGTGAGCACCTATGAAAGGGCCGTGTTACACACACACACACACCGTACGGCTAGGAAATGTTTCTCGCGCTTTACCCCTTATTTTTTTCAAAGTGGTGAAATTTCCTTTAGCCGGCTCTCTCCCTTTTAGCACGTTTCGAAACGAAACGCGAAACGCGAGGGTCCTCGTGTTATTTACCCGGTAATAATATCGAAATGTATAAAACAGATTTAATATTGGATATACATATTTTCCATTTAAATATAGACATACTGCATTTTACTTCCTCCACAAGCCCGTAACAAGCACAGTCTGATTATTACCAATATTATTTTAACAGATTCTCTGACGATGTACTCCTTTCATTTTTTTTTTTTTTTTTTTTTTTTTAGCTTATATCGCGTGATAAATATTCCAATGCATTGAATAGAGATTCGAAACGCTACTGTAACGTTACGAGCCCCATAATAACAATTAGGCCACGCGAGGAAATGGCGAAATTGAGAGGAGTGCAGGCTCGTTCGAAAATAACACGCTAGTGGCCATTGGTGACATGTCAATGCCTCTATGAAATTATTCCAAGGGGAACGCACTCATAAAAGTATCCGCAGAATGGCTCTACATCTATTAATAAACTCTCGCCACCAAGATTCACGTAACGCCACTAATTATAGGTGCCGTTTAATGGAACGGCGACGTGTTTCCCGCTCCGCTCTCTTGTTTCTCCGATTTCCCCTTCTTTTTCCAGCCAGAGGGGTTGGTCCCCAGAGCCAGCCACCCGCGGTTTCCACTTTTCCAACCGAAAATTTCGGAACCTGTAATCGGCTGGCATGAGCCGCCTCATTAAGAAGTGACGTATCGACCTGGGAAATCGGCGGTTCTTGTCGTAATCAGTGCGTGGGATCGGTGTCGCGGGACCGAATCTGTCATTACCCGTGTAATTCGCGCGCCCCTTGGGATTTCCTTGATCTTGGGAACTTTGCTGCGGAAACTGGAAAGATTGGATTCGTCGTTGCTTCAACTTTCGTACGACGGCGACGGGGTTATTTAAACGTAGGAAGAAAGTAATTGTAGAACACGCGATGATAAAGGTAAAAATTTGTTCGTGGATACGTTTCCTTTTCCATCGAGCGAGTGGGAACAACTTGGAAAATTGAAATCCAGTATAAAATTTTGGCTTGTTTGTAAACTTCGTGTTTTTCCTCTTGGTGATGGTTTTACGTTCGTCTTGAAGTAAGCTTAAGAAGAATGTATTCGATGGAAGAGAGTGATTTAACGTGGAAACTTAAAACGAATAATTTAATGTAGAAATTTGTTCCGCTGCTCCACGGGTTGAACTTGTAACTTGTGCGCGATATTAACACCTTAGTACTCAGGATTTTCGAAAAATTCATCCCGTTAAAATGTATGAATTTCACGTTTTTGGCGTATTCTACGGACCGCGCGCACGTTCTGTGAATGCGGAAATACGGGCTGTGCATTTTTTATGGCGTTTAGCACAAAGTGCTTTTATCTTCGACATAAAAAAAAAAAAAGAAAAAAAATGGAGAATTGTAAAAAAATTTCCTGCGTTACGTGATAAATCAATAATAGCACGCGGGTTACGACAAAAATAGTGAAAAAAAAAAAAAAGGAAAGAGGAACAATATAAAACTGCGAACTATCGAAAAAAGGATTACCAGCGTGTATAATTTGACACAATTTGAAATTCGTAGGCGATATATCACGCTTAGTATTTGTGCTTGTTCGGTGCAAGTACCGGCTGCAAATAAACGTCTCGAACTTTCTATAAAACGTGATAATTTCGATTCGACGATATCGGGGTAACGCGTACTCGAGAATGTCACCAACTTGAACAAATTGGACGTTTCAACGTAACGCTCGCGTACGTGACAGACTCGAGCGTTAAGAGGTTAAAGGAAGAAATCGTGTTTCACCCTGTCCAAGATTTCCTCCTTTTTCCGATCGTATATAGTACGTAGGGAAGATAAGTGGTAAAAGTAATTTCGCCAAAGATAAAGGAGAAGTCGTTTCTCGACGTGCACGTGAGATTAATTTCCTCGCAGGAAAGCTTGGCCATTTTACAGTCATCCTCTGTTCACGTCCATCCTCTCGAATCTAGCACGAGGGCCGAATAAAAAGATTAGTGGGTGTACCGGTAGCAAGTAGCCTTGTCATGCCAACGTCCCCGGAGATTGACCATACCGGACGCCGTAAATAGAAAACGATGGGTAGATAGAGGCTCTCGGTGAACAGGGGATACGGGCCACACACCACCTATCTACTTCGATAGTCTCGAACCTATCGTTTTCTATCGAAGGAAGTGTTGCTCCTAACGAATCAGAGAGAGAGAGAGAGAGAGAG